ATACAAGACTGAATATCACCCTTTTAAATTATCTTGATTGTCCTGTCTGTCACATTTAACTCTCTCCAGGTTAGGTTTCCTGGAACTGAGGGAGTATGGGAGGAACTTTAGTTGAGCGCTGGGCACAGAGAGCTCTTCCACCCAGAGTTACACACCAAGACTGGAATTTATTCTCTGCATTCCGCCCATCAAAGAGTTGTAAGGGACCAGAATAGTCGTTAGTTCCACAGATATGGGGGCAGAGTAACAATAATAGGTTTACTGTATGGGGTGTTTGTGACCCGGGATTAGAGAATGCAGTCAATGCTTAACAAAGTGAATACATTTGGGAAGGTTGAAGGTGAGCAATGACAGGCAGGTCAAGCAGTACATTCTACATAGTCCAGCTTCAGTTCATTGAATTGACCGGCACCTGGGCCTTATGAGAATACAGCATGGGAACTTTGCACACTCTTCGCATATCTTGCCGTGCTTTTTCACAGTTCCTGAGTGTGGAATGTGAAGCTGTGTATTTTAGTGCCTGTCTAGTTCTGAGTGCGCAGTAGCAGAAAGCGGTGTTCGTGGCCCGTGTGGTTTCGGTAGGTGGACTGCGATGTTGTCTGTCTGGACCCTCGTGTCCTGTCCCGGTGCCTGGCCTCACCGCAGGCTCTCCCGGCAGGTGGAGAAGACCCGGCACCTGCTCCTGCTGCGCGAGAAGCTGAGCGAGACGGCGCCCAAGTCCCTGAGCGAGCCCGTCTCGCCCACCGCGAGCAGCGGCTCCCTCAGCACCTCCACCAGCATCTCCTCCCAGATCTCCACCGCCACCTTCGAGAGCGCCATCACGCCCAGCGAGAGCAGCGGCTACGACTCGGCCGACATCGAGAGCCTGGCGGACCGCGAGAAGGAGCTCGCCACCAAGGTAAGCGCCTCGCGGTTCACCCTCCTCTTCTGTTCTCACCCCAAACATCTGCCTCATTGGAGCAGCTTCAGTGACTACAGGAGGGTGTTGTGCCGCCCGTTATAGAGGGGATTGCACTTGTGTTTCTGTCATCTGTAGATGACTCATTTGCCACGTTGGGTTGTGTAGTTCTTGGACAGACACTGTCGAAATCTGCCTTGTGCTGTAACGTGTAACGTCTGACGACCTCTGCACCCTGTTTCAGTGCCTGCGCCTTCTGACCCACACCTTCAACCGAGAGTACAACCAGGTGTGCAACAGCATCAGCGACTGCAAGGTGAGCGAGTCGCCTGGGTCCCCTTTAGCCAGATACTCTTAGTCTCGCTCACTGCTTGATCAGCTCTCTGCTACACCGGGTAGCAGACCTAGAAAAAATGTAATCCGCCATTTAAAAAGTGGTCTGTCCTGAACAATAATGTTTTTCTTAGTTTAACTAACGTCTTCCTCAAGTAGTCTGCATAAGTTGTTTTGTTCTATCAAATAAATCATTTCCTGGACCTTTCCCAAGTTGTGATTTTCCACTTCTGCGGGCTTGTGTGTCCACGACTGAAAACATAAGCAGGTGTTTCTTTGGTAACATGCAACACCTGGAGCATATGTTTGGGTATATAGGAGCAAAATTCACACGATGGGTAGATGAACTGCACATGGATTTCAAGTATTGGTATTGGAAGCACTGTAAAGGCTAAGTTAAGAAAAGGTTACATCAAGACAGACACTGTATCTAATAAAGCAGATTGGGTTTCATCAAAGCTTGTAAAGCTGAAGTGGGTGCTTGGTTTGGAGCAGTGTGGTTCATATATCAGTTTGGCATCTCCAGTGGACAGATCCTAGGCTGAGGGGGTGAAGCTACTGTCTGCTCTGTGTTTCAGCTGTCCGACATCTCTCCCATCGCTCGGGACCCCTCGGTCTCCAGCCTCAGCAGCGCCACCCTCACCCCCTCCTCCACTTGCCCCTCCCTCGCCGACTCCCGCTGCAGCTCTGTGGACCAGAAGTAAGGGCCTCGCCACTGTCTCCAGTTTGTTTTCAAGCACCCCGCCCCCTTTCAATCGTAGGACAGAGCCTGGCCTGCTGGTGGAACAAAAAGAAAGGCTCTGCCTGGCACTGAGAACTCGGAGAGCATGTCTTGACTTGGGGCCACTCAGAACTCACTATCGCTGTTTTTATCAGAGAACGTTACTCAGCCCTGCTGTGACTCCTTACTAGATTGAGATTTTAGAACCAGTTAAACCATTATAACATTCAAACCACTGGCCTGCATGCTGTGCTCTCTTAACATTCAGGTTATGCTCTTGATTGAAAGCCGAGTGTGACCCTCGATCTTATAGCCCAGATACAGCTGTACTTCTCGCATTCAGGTCTGATTGGTAGAGCAACGTAGTTCAGGTTCTCCTTCTGAGTAGCAGCTGGCCTTGTGCACTGTGTCACAGCCGAGTCTTGTCTGTCTCCCCAGAACCCCAGAAGCTAACTCCCGGGCCTCCAGCCCCTCCTGTCCAGACTACGAGAACTTCCCCATGGTGCCCACCCTGGAGACCCCCTACCTAGCGCGAGCTGGCAAGAACGAGTTCCTCAACCTGGTGCCTGACATCGAGGAGATGAGGCCGGGGTGAGTCTCTGTGAAATACGTTGAAATCTGTCGAGTACGGTCCATGACATGACCCAGGCTCAAACCCCTGACCCCTGGGGCACAGAGCCAAGCCTGGGCTGGGGCAAGTGTCTTTACAGGGAGAGCCAGTCAGGAGGCCCTGTGCCGTAGCCACAAGCTGGGAGGAAAGCTGCTTGAGTCTTTGTGGGGAAAACTTGTTTGGGACCAAGAAATTGCCCACACAAGTTGGAAGACACTTTACAGAAGTACAGAATAAAATTTAGGGGGCAGATTGTTTTGGGATCTGATAGGTTGCTCTTAAATAGAGAGATTTTTTTAAGATGACAAGCTTTTGATAAGGTTATTATAGACTGGTTGTTGTAGAATAACGAGTTCCTCTCAGTTTTACAATACCTGAAACGTGTTACATTTTCCTGAGACTTTGGCCCTTCCACGCAGGTCTGTGGTATCCAAGAAGGGGTACCTGAACTTCATGGAGCCACGCTCCAACTCGTGGGTGAAGCACTTCGTGGTGGTGCGCCGGCCATACGTCTTCATCTACAACAGTGACAAGGACCCTGTGGAGAGAGGTGTCCTTAACCTGTCCACCGCCCAGGTCGAGTACAGTGAGGACCAGCAGGCCATGTTAAAGGTGAACAGCCCTTTCAAGAGTCAAATGACACACCATAAGAATGCACTGTAAGATTGAGCAAACATGGAGGGTACTATTTTCTGATTTTAGTCATTACTCTGAGGACTTTAATTGTGAATGTTATTATTTAGAGGCGATCCTGTGTTGGCTCCATGATCAGGTAACTCTGGATAAAACTTTATTGCAGTCTAAAATAATTTTAAGGGTGACTTACAAAATTTTGGGCTTGTATCTTCAGCAACGTTGTTTATTTACTGCATTTTTATTAACCTTTTATATTAACTACATTATCTTTTATACCAGAAAAAGACCTGTGCTCTTTCAATCAGGTGTTTATTTTTAGAGTGAACACCAGCTCTAGTCATTACCTCTGATCTCATTTTCTTCTTGCAGACACCCAACACATTTGCAGTGTGCACAAAACATCGTGGGATACTCCTACAGGCCATCAATGACAAAGATATGAATGACTGGTTATATGCCTTTAACCCACTGCTAGCAGGAACGATAAGGTACACTTCCCGCTAATGAATAAGTCATTGTAGATCAATGTTATACATGGATGTGTTCTTGTTGTGATTCTCAGTAAAGCATGGTAGCTGTATTAATGAAAGCCCGGGACAGAATGGGTAATGGAATTTCAGTCATAATTAGGGAGACATACAGAAACAGAAATTGTGCAGCGAAGGCTGCATTTCTGAGTCTCCTCTTTTTTTCTTTTTGGCAAAAAAATGGATGGGGCTCATAAGGATCCATCTAAAAGAAGAAAAAAAAAAAGACGCTGACAAAAAATGTTGGGTGGGAAAAAAAACCTCTTGTGTTTCTTCATTCCAGGTCAAAGCTTGCGAGACGGCGTTCGGACCAGCTGAAGAATTGAAAGGCCATTGATCTGGCCAGTGAAGATACCAAGTGTTAACACTTATTAATCTTTGTGATTCTTGACGGTTTTCTCTTGTATGTGGAACATGTGGCTTAACCCTCCTTTGAAGCAATGTTTTAGTTACCGAAACCTTTCCTCCCCTGTCTATCCTTGGCCTTCCTTATCTTCCGTTTTTTTTTCTGTCATCCCTAAACCTTCTACTAGTAGCATGTTGTAATACAGTCTAGTTGTGTGTGCACGATTCTTCAGCAGTTTTCTCCTATTCTTGAGTTTTAGTGTCTGTAAGGTTGTCCTTTTCAGTGTTATCTGTCCGTCTCAAACATTCTTGATTCGTGCCTGCATGGTAACCATGGCTGTCCTCAGGGTAGGAGCAGGTCCTTTTCCATAGCAAATTAGAAAGCACCATCAAAACTGATCATGGAAAGAAACTGAAGAAAGAGACCGTTTATTGTGTACTTTCCTTATGCCAGCAGTGCAGGGATCTAATGTACCTCTGTATTCTATACATCAAGTGTATTTTTAACAGATAACTATAGGGGTGGCTTCAATTCTCCTGCTACAGCCTTCAAGGAAGGAAAATGCCTCTCTGGTTAAAAACTATCCAAAGCGGATAAAGATACAAGGACTAAGCCGATTCTTGTTGTCAGCTCTGATTTGTTTCCACGCTGGAGGGACAGTGTTGTCGGTAGACAGGACAGCGCAAGTTAGAGGCCAGACCGCAGGAGCTGCTCTCCGCTGGTACAGGACCCGGCTATGTCCGGTCGCGGGGCGGTGGGACACTGTAACAGTCAGACCAGTTGCAGGTCAGCAAGCGAACAGCCACAGCAAACGCACTCAAACATACTGTAGAAATCATTCGACAGCTTGTGCGTTAACCTGGTGCTGGAATTAAAACAGCAGAAGGAGGCGAGGGACTAGATTTTCTTAGGCCCCCTCGAGGGTGGCTGGTGCGAATTCAACGTGAAAACGAAATGGCTGACAGAAAATAGCTCTCCGCTTTTCTTGCTGGGGTGCTGGAGAGAGGGGCTGCTGCATCCTCCACAGGCCACAGAATCTCCATGCTGCATTATTCCACATACCCTGAAGTACCCAGAGTCTCTGTGTTACCCACTGCTGTGCCCATGACTAAGTTCTCGGACCTTCCAGTTACTGGGCAGTAACTCCACACTTCCTGCAAGTGGTAGCAGGGGGATTTGGGAGGGTAGTAGCCATACAGGCTGTGTATACAATGCAAGAATGTCCTTTGTATATGTAAGCTTCAGATTTAATGTTTGTACCAGTGTTTATATAGTAATTCTACAGCACCTGTTTGCGAGAATTTCCTGCTTTGATTGCAAGTTACTTTTCTTTGTCGATATTCCCGAGAGGTTTGGTTTATGGTTCTACTCTTGTTTGAGGTGGCCAAAGGGACACTTGCATTCGGAGTCTTTTCCGGCCTCTGAAGCTGCAGACACACTAGGAGGCTCTCGATACCTGGAGCAATGAAGTCTGATCGGCTAATATCCTGGACCCTACAACCACATTCGTATGACTGGGGCGCCTTTTTGTTTTAAATTGGATTTTAGTTTTTGAGCACTTTCATTTTATCATGTCCCTTCAGGCTTATGAAATGCACAGGATATCAGTACCCTGAGTCTCAGGCTTGCTTTTCTTTTGCATGTCTAGTAATATGCAATCAGACATTGAAATCCAGTAACCAGTCATAGTGATGGTAAGATTTTGCACCCTTTAAAGTATGTCCTTTGCGATTTAATCTGGCTTACATTATTTTCAGCCTTTTTTTTTTATTTGGCCTCTTTGTTTTTGATGGCCCTCTTAAGAAGCAAACAGGGTTAGAGTTAGGAGATTCACAATGAAGGAACACAGGAGTGCATTTTGGGGGGGGTTTCTGCAGCTTTGCTAATTACAAAGCATCCACTTGTTGTTTTTTTTGTGTCTCACAATGAAGAGATGATTTCCCCTCTCTTTCATGTTTTAAGATTCTTTGCACATTTTACAATGCCAGTACGACATGTGTAGGACAGAAAGGGGTGATCAGGCCCTGCTGCTGGAGAGTTCAGAGAAAGTCCAGCACAGTCGGTTCATGAAGAATCGGCTTAGTACTAACAGTACAAGCACTGATGTTAGGATCATTTGGTCAGTACCAACGTAGAATGATAAGGAAGAAGCGTGATGTTCAGATTGTGTACTGCTGGATTCTTCGGAGCATACAAGATGCATCACAGAAAATGAAGGGAAAAATCAAAACTACTCTGATCAAATTGTTATTTTTGTATTCTTCTTATTCTTTTCTTATTATTGATGGACACCAGCATGAAAGGCTTTGCTCTCTTTAAATGACAAATGTAAAGTCAACAGATCCCTGGGTCCAAAACTCATTCTGAAGTATGATATTTATTTAACATGGTATTTATGTAATAGTTGTCTTAGCTCCTCGACTTTCATTACTGATTAACTATCCTTTAACAGAACGTGGCATGCAAGCGCCATTGTATTGAGCCTGGTGCTCCTGTTCTTTAGCATTATGGTGCTGGGGGTTTGTGTCACTGAGAGTGCGAACTTAGAAGAAGCAGGGCTCTGGCCAGCCAACCAGCAGTACCTGCTGTTAAGAGTGAATATAGCCCAGTGGCTACAGACAGATAGGAAGGGCAGGAGCAGTAAAGGCCAGTGCATTTGTGCTCTTTCTTTTTGCACTAGTTCCAGCTACAACAAGCGACTGATCCTTGAAGGTGTGTTTCTAACTCATTCAGACTTGGGATCGAAGCACTGAAGACCATGTTTTCTGTTTGCACTCACAGAAGATGTGTGAAAGTGATGAAAAGGCTGCTGTGATTCTGGGGCCAGGAAGCCTCTGGAAAAGTGAAGCATAGCGTGTCTTGAAGCATAACACTCATGCCTTGCTGGCTGTTCTAGTGCAAAGACTTCATGCTGGAAATAATTTTAAAAATAAAAGTGCATTTGACTAAAATAAATAATCATCACTTGTATTTTAAAGTGGGTTTGCATTCTATGCACCCTTACTAATGTTGGAAAAATTCTAATTTCTCTTCCCATAGTACCCAGGTTTCCGAACGAGACGTGACTCGAGCTGGTTTAAAAGAGCAAAGGTTTTCAAACCTTCATTTTTTGAGTTGCTGGGTTCCTAACCTACAGAGGAGCAAATGGACTTTAACTGTATTTATTTTCAATTGCAACGTGTATATATTAGTCTGCAGCTTTTTGCACAACATAAAACGATACCAGACGTGTGGTCAAGTTTTGGCATTTTATCAATAATGGTCATTCCACAAACTCTGCTTATCAATGATACTTGAACAAAATGAAGCAGTCTTGATACATACAGGATGGGTCAGTGGAATTGATAAAGGGAATAGGCTTACGTGTTTTGGGACAGGCACTATATGCTGCTGTGAGAGGATGTTGAATGTACTGTCAATAAGTAACATGTTGCCCACATGCATTGTTTTTCCATTGTTTAAAAAGGACAGCATTATTGTAGTCCAGGATTACTTTTCCATCTGGAGCTGGTTTATTGTTGTGCTTCCATTTACAAGGAAAAGGTCAACTAGTTTCAAACAACTTGATTTCTTTTAAGAGGTCATTTATTAGAAGAACTTATATGATGTGTTTTGCGATAGCCTAGTTCTATACTATAGGATTATGATGTTGAAAGTGGGCCTATATTAGGTTTTTTAATAGCTGGTAGTAACTTAAAATATTTAAAACTACACATGGCTCAGGCCTACAAGAAACAGTTCATTTTCACATTTTCAGGGCATTTATACATTAACACTCATCTTAAAGCTTTTCATCCATTAAAGAAAGTAAACAACATTGTTCTTAAACAACCCAAAAAACACAGTATATTAAACAATTTCCCCTAGAAGAAGACTTTTCTTTGAAACTGAAGGTTGACATTCCCTTTAACACTTTTAAGAAACCATTAACACTGTATATTAATTGTCAGATTTGCTTCATTTTCATACTTATTTTGTAAATATATATGTTGTATGGAGCTTGAACTAAAATGTAAATATATTTCATGTATTTGTACTAATTATAACCCATTTGCTGTATAGCATAGACGTGTAATGCAGATATATCTAATTCTGTGTATGGTAACCTTGCACCATTGAACTGTTTAGTGAACAAGGTAACAAATAAAGGTACAACCAGTGCATTAGCATAATTGTGTGTCCTGTTTCTTGACTGCAGATTGTATAAAAATCTCTTTATGGGTAGAAGTAACAGTGATGGGGGCAATGGGGGGTTGGTTAGAGCAAAGCATTGTAAAACTTATCACAATAATCCCTTGTGTTTTGTGTAGTATTTTTCCTCAAAGACCAAAGCAGGGCGTCATTCAAGGAAAGTTTATTTTCAGAAATTTACAGTGTAACTCCAGGGGTCTTGCTGCGAGAAGTTACAATCGGAGACGTCCTATTAATAATGCAACCGTTAAAACGCATTTTGAAAAAAGGTTTACATTTCTGCATTTCACACAAACGCACAACAGTTCCATCAACACAATGAACCTATTGGGTAACTCCAATATTGACACCCCCAGTAAATCTGCCTCCTGCAACGCAGGTGTGCTACTGTGAGGGACACAGCTACAATCGGCAAGAATGATAAAAGGATACATCCCTCTTATAACCCCACAAGGATAGCACCCCAGTCCAAAATAGAACCCTGGGGTGCAGCTCTGAGGCAGAAATGCTACAATTGTGCAGTCCTAAAATTTCTTAAATTAAAAATGGAACTTTGTCATTAGCCTTTCCTTTGGGAACTAAGCACATGGTGTTTAATGTTCCGTTTATTCACGTGCAGTTAGCTTCATTTTGCATTTAACCAGCAGTGCTGTATTTGTGTGAAGCATATCATATTCCAACATAAAAAGGGTTGTTACACTATGACAGATTAAATACATTTTGGTAGTGTAATGTATCTAATTCAAAGTAACTTCCACTAGAAACAATCACTGTAAAAATTAACAGTGCACAAGTTAGAGTTTAGTAGGATAGCAAAGTTTAAAATTCACCGTAAAACATCAGCTTTTGCGCTTAACAAAAGTTGTATATAATACAAACCACGACAGTTATTTATGGGGGTACATATTGGACATTTTCAAGTATATTAATGCGTATTCCTTTTTCAAAGTGTAATTTGCTTCACAAAGCAAGAAAAACATTAAACAAGGAGCAGATGCTGCATTTTCTCTCTCAAATGAATGCAGAAGACACTTTCACTCCAGCTTCCTCTTCATCTCCTGGTTCGGCTGCACTGCAGTTCCACAAAGACCCGCCTCAAGACTTAAAAGAGGTTGAATGGGAGACCAGGAAAACGGAGGATGTTTTGCTGTCGGTGACCCCTCGGCACGCCCCCCTGCGGGTTAGAACCGGGTGGCCCTTCCTCGCGCCTCGTGGAGGGCCAGCACGCGCTGCTGCAGGCCGGCGATGAGCGTCTGCACCAGGGCCTGATCCAGGCCGCGCCACAGCTCGCTCAGCCTGTCCCGCAGGGCGGCGGCGGACGGCGGCCGCGGCGTCGTCTGCTGCAGCTGCCGGTCCAGGCGCTCCCAGATGTGCGCGATCGGGTTCATGTCGGGGCTGCGGGGGGGCCAGGGCACGACCTGCAGGCCCCTCTCGCTCTTCCAGTGGGTGGTGGTTTTGGAGGTGTGGCAGGGTGCGCAATCTTCCTGCAGCAGGTGCGTGCTGAACTGCAGAGCCCCTTGTCGGAAAAGGGGCAGGAGGTGATTCTCCAGCACCGATACGTAACCAGGCGAATCCAGGGGTCCCTCTGTGAACACCAGCTCAGTCTTTCCGGCGTGCCAGACCGCTGCCCACACCATGACGCTGAAGCCGTCGTCCTGAGCCGGGGGCTGCACGCAGTCCTCCTGAAACGCCTGGCCGGCTTTCCTCCACGCCCATGTGCGTCCGCTGGAGGCGAACTGCTGGAACTGCGACTGGTCCGTGAAGACCACGGATCTCCAGAAGGCTGCGGGCTTCTCCTTCATTTCCTGCGCCCACGCCAGCCTGCGCTTCACGTTGGCCTTGGTGAGCAGGGGCTTCGGGCGAGACAAACTCCCGTTGTAGCCCAGCTTGTGCAAGTAGCGCTGAGCCGTGCGCTGCGACAGATTCACAGTGCTGGCGATGTCTACGAGCTTGGTGCGCGGATTGGCACTCACCACCCGGACCAGAGCCCTTTTGGTTCCTTCTGTAAGCATTGACGGGCGGCCCGGCCGATGGTTAACCGCTCTTTCATTGGACTGGCGGTACTTCACAATGATGTTGTGCACTGTGCCGTTCGCAAGTCCCAGACTTCTCGCTATCTGCCTCTCGCTGTGGCCGCAGTCTGACTGCCCAACTACCCTGCCGCGTGTGAATGGCGATATGTCGAAAGCACCAGGGGTACGGGGCATGTTTTGCCTCAGACATGCAGGTGCCCCGACTGCCAAAAGCTTTCTATAGCAGAACAACAATCAGACCAGCTGTTGCTGCTCTTCTTCCGTCCTTGCTGGCGGAGGGAGTTGTGGGAAGGAGTGATTTCCGGACGCAGCTGTATCATTCACAAAAATAAAAGTACACTTCTGTTCCCTGTCGATGGGCTGTCTTAACGGGCTTTTAGATTCACATTCGCATTGAAACAAACCCCCGCATTCTTAATTTAACACGCGCCTTTTTATGACTAATGCATTTTGTTGGCGGGACTATCTTGCTGTCTGAAATGAAGATCTCGGACTATACCGGTCCAGTTTCACTTCTGCACAGTGAAGCTAAACGAAACGAGCACTGATTTCTCAAAGTGATGTAAAATCCCGGAAGCTTTTTGAGCCAACACGGACGCCGTGAAGTTCGGGGCTTATCTTGGAAGTGATGCACAGCACAGTACGTCACACACTGTCTGGACACAAGTCACAGGCGAGGAGGACGAAGTACAGTTTATATCCGACTTGACCACACAGAGGAAAGAGAAAAGCATCTTTAATAATGGCACAGTAAGTATGCATATTCTTTATTATGAGAAAAAATGTGCAAATTGTTTAACTATCTTATTGCTTGACCTCACCTTGACAAACTACTGAACAGCATTGTTGGAGTCGGAGGGTGTTTACAGTTATGTTTGCATAGTACACAGTGGTTCAAAAAATATAAACCAGTTATTTTAAAATTAAAAAATCCAGCTCTGCGTGTGAGTGAAAGGGTTTCAAGATGGGATGACAGCATGACTTTTTTTTAAAGATATAATGAGACCAGCTTTTAATACTATTGCCATGTATAGCATGGCTATGAAGGAAAAAAAAAATTCCTTCATAAAAACATAGATCAATTTAGCCGCAAGACAAAATTGGTTTTATTGCTGACCTCCACGTTGTGCTGTTTTGTTATGTAAATTGTACTGTAATGTGTTCCAAATTGAAAGACGGTGTCTATTTCTGTATCTATTTCATTATTCTGTCTCCTTTTTTGTATTTCTGGTGTTTAAATAAAAACTTATTTAAAAAAATAAAGGTTTGCAATTAAGGCTCGCTCAATCGCTTACTTAGTGCTTCATCGATGTTTCGGCTCGATTTAGTTTCCTTCTTTGGGAGAGGGTGGGCAACACCAGATTCTAGAGTGACGCGTCTGATGAACCAATCGAAATTCGAACTGGCTCTGCTCAGATTTTGCGGACCAATGAAACTCGGCAGGGGGCAGGGTTTGGTGCTGGTGACGTCACCCAGCTAGCAGACAGCTCTGTCACGGTGAATCAGGTGGAAACCCCAGTGAGGATCGGTACTGCACTTATAAACCTGCCTAACGAGGAAATAAGTGTGTCTTTGCAATCTGACAGTCTAGTATAGAGGGAGAATAAAAAGCACACGGCCATGGCACAGTGAGTACCTCTTATCCCATAATGTTTACCATTGCTATGAACGTGCAAAGTTAGTCTCGTTTATTTTTAATGAGCTTGGAAATACTGGGCACACGGTACCCTGCGCTAGCGCTGCCTCTCCTGCAGAGTACTTACGAGGATTAAGGGCTGATTGGAGAGCTAGAAGTTAATTGGAAAAGCTTTTAGAAACGTGTAGCATTGCGTTTCGAATGGAGAGTCCTAGTAATCCGAGTAATAGTATTACGTCTATAAGCGTCTTAAAGAGTTTTTTTTTAAAGATTTTGTAACGGCTGTATTTCTCTTCGCAGCTAATAATGAAAGGCATTGTTATTTTTTCCGTAGCGTTTTTCTGTGATCTGCTGAAAGTGCCAATTCAGTCATTCATTGGCTGTTCCCTGTGAGTGGGCCCAACTGCTCTGTCGAAACTCTCTCTTTTGGAGAGACAAGCTCTAGAATACCCACAAAATTAATTCAGCGTGACAAAGTTATAGTGGGTTTATTAGTTAAAGCAGTAAGAAAAGACTATGATGGTTGTTTCCACTCCACAGTCGTGATTAAAGATTTAGATAAATCGCAGGCAGGCATTTTTGGTCTATTAATATGTTTCTTTCTAAATAGTTGTTTACCCCTAAACGACATATTTTATCCATCCAAACATTTTCTAAGCGCTTCATAGAGTTAAGGGCCAAGCGTGTATTTCATCACAAAATGTTTTACAACGCTCTCTGCCTCGCAGTTCCTTATTCCCAGTAGACTGATAGACATTGATTCCCCTTTTTACAAAGTTGTGTAAGTATGTGTACATCAGTTTACCACTTTTCTTTACAAATCACAGTTACACAACTCTCAAAAGAATAATCAATGTCCCTCATTCTATTTCGGTATGCGAAGTGAAGTTTTTCTTTTCGCATAGAGCTGATTAAAAAGAGGGAAATGTTGTGTGTGTTTTCATGCTTTTCCTACATGTATGTGTGGGTTTATTGTAAGTGGTTTCTTTCATCAAGTCCAAGTCCTAGAGTACAGCTGTAAAAGAGCTGGGTACCTAGTTCTTGGCTACAGTTTAGCTAAAGTTTGTTGTTTTGTTTTGTCCATGCTCTCTCACCAGGAAGGAAATGCAATTATAGTCTTTATATGGTACCTGTATACTTTCTTGGAATGTGCTCTTATAGGAAGGGAAAGTAAAAAAAAAAAAAAGAGCCTCCTTTACAACTATTGCAGAACTTCCTGTAAACGTTTTAGGTGTTGCAAAACTCTTAAATCAACATCTTGCACCATAACCGATCGGCACAGAAAGCAGCCTAGACCTCCAGTAATGACCTGGTGTCGAGTGCAGAATTAGCATTGCGAAGGCTTGTTCTATACAGTATGCTTATACATGCCAATGTGTGACTTGCTTATCATGCTGTGTGGGCTGAAGCCCTTCCTGTGTATTTTGTAATTGCTTTGCGACCCGTGCCCATGTGCAGTGTCTTGCTGTGTTCCCGCAGAGCGGACATTGCCCTGATTGGTTTGGCTGTGATGGGCCAGAACCTGATCTTGAACATGAACGACCATGGTTTTGTGGTAAGTCTAGGGGGAAACAGAACGGTGCCGTCCTGGCGTAGAATCCGCCTACCCCTCTGTTAAAATGTGTTCAAATGGACTAGTTTCTTTGAAATACCTGTGAGAGGTACAGTATGGTGGAGATATAAAGCCTCAGATCTTGTTGTTTTTTTTTAAATATTATAGAGTGATAATAGTCGACACTGGGATGTACAGTATATAGAGAAAGAACTTTTAATTCCCCTTTTAGGTACAGAGAGGGCTATGCCCAGACCTGATAACTTAAAAATAAAGGCAAGAAGAGTGCAGGGCAGTCTCTTGAGCTGCCAGTCCGTTCTGGTGTGAATGCGCACACTTCACAGTGTTACCTTCAGCCTCACTTCACTGTCCTGGAGAGCTCACACTTCTCCCCGCGTCCCCCTGAAAGAAACAGCCCTGTCCCCGGTGTGTCTGCCGGCCGAACATCCAGAGAGGAAACTGCCACCCCTACAATATTTTATTTTTATTCCACTGCTGAATCGAGAGGATCCAGATCTAGCCATTTATGACTGTTTCCTTTAAGTTGTTTCTTTTTTTCACTGACTGGAAAGAGCTTTTAAACTGCACACATGGGCACTGCTTTGTCACCTCCTTTTAATTGATAGCAAGTTCTTCTTTTATTAAATGACCCTGCATGAGCTGGGTGTGTTTAAACTCTGTCCAGTTCTTTGCAAAGGAGTGAAATCCTAACTCTCAGACTCAAAGGTCATAATAGAAAATACTGTCCGCTGCTGAAGTGCACACAAAGTCAGTGCTTCACAAAGTACTGATACGAAGTCCCAAACATCTGCAGTCGAGAGTTTTTGATTTGTTCCTTATTTGTAGTTATGTGGTTTGGACCTCCCAAGTTTTCTGTACGTTGATGCGCTGATGTCTTGCACTCTGCAGGTGTGCGCCTTCAACAGAACAGTGTCCAAGGTCCAGGACTTCTTGCAGAACGAAGCCAAAGGGACGAAGGTGGTTGGCGCGCAGTCCCTGGAGGACATGGTGTCCAAGCTGAAGAAGCCGCGGCGCATCATCCTGCTGGTGAAGGCTGGCCAGGCCGTGGATGACTTCATTGACAAGCTGGTGAGTGAGCTGGTGGACATCCTGGTGCATGGTCTGCGCTCGGGGTCACCCTGGGGCTCGTCCCGGGAATCGGGGTGGTCATATGACTGCAGTGCATTCACCAGTGTCACAGCGCCTTCTTGCTTATTGTTTCTCTTCGTACACCAGGGAGCTGTGAGTGTGCATAGTGGAAAGCAATGCTGATTCATGTGTGTGGTGTTCCATGAACCAGTTGTTTGCCACAAGAGAGGAAGCCCTTTGCATGCTCTGTGCCAGCTATTCAGTATCTGGGTCTGTAAAATGGCTTTAACTGTCCTTGACGGGAGGCAGCATTGATCTCGAATCTTAAAATATTGTAGTTCCATTTCATGCTGCTACCAGTGGCATATATTTGTTTACTTTGAGTGTCTTTGTGTGATGGGGAAACGGGGATGTGATTGGAATTAGTTCAAAAACATTTTCCTGATGGTTGCTTTTTTTTTTAAGTACGTCACCTTTTTTTTTGCATTAACCAGGTTCCACTGCTTGAACCAGGGGACATCATCATCGACGGAGGAAACTCAGAGTACAGAGACACAACAGTAAGTACCTGA